GTCCGTTCTTCAGTCTTGGCGGCGACGCGTTACAAGTAACGACGTTACCGGTAGCGCGTTACCTTTTTTGTAACGTAGTACCGTACTCGTTACTTTTTCAAACCAGTAACGGGTACCGTATTTACGTTACTGTTTCAAGTAACGTGTAACGTACTTACATTACTCGTTGCTTTTTCCGAAGCCTTAAAGGAATTAGACTTCCTTTTTCTTTTCCTGTTTTTAGGCGTCAAGTCATGAGAATTTCAGAGTTTTCAACGTTTTTCGTTGCATTTTTTTCTCGTGAGTATTGAGGTGAAACTGCAAAGAGAGATAAAGTAATTATGTTCAGTTTCTGCATGAACATAATGTCTCTTGAAATGTGATTTTATGCATACCTATACCGCCGGAATAGTAAAATGATCTAAATCATAATTTAAAAAGTAACGCAAAAGTAACCTGCGTTACTTTTTATCGGTAACGGTAATGCTTTCCATTTATTTTGAAATAACGTAGGTCGGTAAAGCGTTACTTTTATTTGCAAATAACGAGTAATGTATTTCGTTACTTTTCTTCGGTAACGCCTACAACACTGCCGTTCTGTCGCCGATCTTCTTCCGTCTGATAGCGCGAACGTAGCGAGCCACCGACGAGCGCTTGGCCTGTGCTTTGGGCTCGAACACCGTGGGAAGTTCCAGTGGACTCAATCAGACGACGGTTTCCCTGCACATAAGTAAGCCTCGGGACAGAGATTGAAATGGAAGCCACACTTGCCTTCAAGAAAGTGCTTGCCGCACGAACAGTCGTCCGCGCGAGGCGACCATTCTTTTCGATCCACTGATACTATGCACCTTCTGCGCTTTCCAGAGTTCGGTGTGAACTTATGGAAACTCACTCCGCTACTTTTTCTGTAGCTTTTGGTGCAATTAACGGCTACACAGCTTTGCGGCATGCTGAAAGGCTACGACGCCCATGCGAAACGTGCGCCTTGCTGCCCACACCACCCGGCTCCGCCGCGATCGCAGCGCCGCCGCAGCTCCGTGACGTCAAGCCCGCGTGTCGGTCTATACCAGTGTTGCGGAATGGGCACCCCCATTCCATTCCAATTCCATTTCGGAAATTAGAGTTTTCGATATTTCAATTCCTTCCAACTCTTAGGATTGGAAACACTCGGCCCATTGCCACTCCTGGATTGGCTGAATCGTTCCATTCCATTCCTCTCATTCCTAAACGTAAAAATTGGCACTTGACAGCTGCATTGCGTTGCAGGGTTGGGCAGAAATAGTCAAAAATGTATTTGAAAATACAAATACTTGGATAGATGGAAATTGTAGCTAAAATACTGATACTCAAATATATCTGTAAAAATGTATCGCGATACGTATCGGAAATACATATTGAAACGAGTCAAAAAGTCTTTGGAAAATCAAATACAGGAATACATTTTAGGGGGGGCAGAAATATAAATACTGATGATGGAATATATTTTTCAAATTTCTTTGAGACGCCAACTGAGATGAGGCTTTAAGTTTGAAGTGAAAGTTTTTTGTTGTTGTTTTTTTATCCCGAAATTACTTTCCCGCAGGCTTGGCGCTTCTCCTTCAAAGTAGTGGTTCCGGACGAAAAGGAGTCTTCAATGGGTTCAAAAAACGTTCCATCAAGGATTGACCGCGGTCCCTTCTCTGGCATCCTGTCTGTCTGACCAGTGATGCGAAAAGACTTCGACCTCTAAATAAATTCCATCAAAACATCATCACTTCCCTGTCTAATAAAGGCGCCCCTGTCAACACTGATCACATGACGTCACGCGGAATGAACTAGTATTCTTGTATCTGTAGGTGTTGCCTTAAACATGAAACTTTACCCACGCTGCTGTATGAAAGAACAATACGTACTTTCGTTGTAGGCTACCTCGTTGAAGACCATGCAGGTAGTTGCATTTGGAATTTTCGAGAATAGGGTGGACCACCTGAAGCATCCTGGAGCACATGACTTATCCTCTGTTACGGTCGAAAATCGATAACGTAGCCTTGAGCCGCGCAACAGGCGCAGACGCACTCGGATTTGGGTTGAACTCCACTGATGAAAGGGGCCACCGCCCCCCCCCCCCTTCCCTCCCCCTTTGTTCTTTGCTTTGACGCTTGTTTTTCGTATTGCATTTTTTTGCGTATAAGTCTGTTAGGGCTCCACGCGGGTTTGCAGTTTCCCGCTCATTTTATTTCGGAACAACTGACTCGCTGACTAACTCGATATAGCTAAACGTAAAAAAAAAAAGAAAAAAAAATGAATAAAAAAATATAAAAAATTGCGCCTATTCCATTCCGGGCAAAAGGCATCTAATTCCATCCCCATTCCATACCCCTCAACGTTGCCGCCATTCCATTCCCATTCCATTCTGGGGTCGCGAAAGTGTGGAATGATTCCGGAACCATTCCAACTCCGGAGTGGCAACTCCGCAACACTGGTCTATACTGGCAAAGCCTGGCAGATCGCCACGAGAAGCGGCCGCCGAAATCGAAAAGGTAGAGCGGCAGACAACGGATGAGAGGAGAGCCACGTGACGGGCGCCACGCTGCGGCGAGACGCCGAAACACACTTCTCCCGAACGAACAAGTGTGTTTCGTGTCCTCGCCGCATTCAAAAGCTGTGCGCTGACGTCCAGCTTCCCTGAGAAATGGCTCTTTGATGCTCTGTGCCACCAGATCTGCGACCGGGCACTCTATGGCTCCGTCGTCAAACTGCTAGGCTTTGTGAGTATAGAGGAGGCTATGGTGCAGGGTGTAAGATAGACAGGTGAGGAAACGGCCCATAGAAGCCTACCGCAGCGCCGTGACCGAATTGTGTACTCTGCTTGCGGGTATCCCCGATTTGCGACAGATGGCGCTGCGGCGAGAGAAAAAAAATTGGAATCGGATTTCCATGGAACTCTATGGGAGAGTGCGCAAAATAAACCCAGAGCACAACAGTCCTCCATTGAAAATCCACGAGAAATCATCTCCGTCAGTTTAGCCGGTCGCCACCGGTCGCCCACCCGGAGTGAGAGTTCGCGGTGCTCCACATAGATGGCGCCACAGAAAAAGAAAAAACCGAGGGGGACACAATTCGGTCCCTCATTTGGCTCTCGTTTTTCCACCTGTCTATCTTACACCCTGCTATGGTGTGAGTCGCTCTGCGTTCACCGTGGTGCTTGGAGAAAGATGTCCTCAACTGACCTAATTTGCAGCTAACAACTGCCGCAAGTACGCGTTTTCGAAAGCGCTGTGTGGGTGCTTGGGATTGCAGCGGGACTGACCTAAACCTAGCGTCCGACGTCAACTATGTTGCCGATCGGGCTTGATTTGTTTCTTTGCGCGTATTGGTGCTGAATAAAGGTGTTGGTTTCCGTGAAAGCGGCCCTGCGGCTCGGCAAATCGAGCAACAGTTGTGATTGGAACCATGGTTTAATACCGACAAGGTAGATAGAGAGGTCAGAATTTGCGAATCGTTTCTGAAAGCAATCCAGCGCTCGGCTCGCATACCATGCTTGTATATGTTCCCGTCATATCGTTTCAAGAGGGAAGCAGCTCAAATTTGCAATGCACCTGGCCTGCCAAAGAGAATAGTTGTAGGTCACACTTTAATTGTGCTTAATGACGCTCACTCACCTTCCTCTTGGTTGCCATGTGAGGAAAGAAAACAAGAGAGCAAAATTTGAAATGACTGCATATTTAGTTTGTTGCTTTTTTTAGACCTCTCGGCCGGTTTTTTACCGCACATCGAAAGACGCTTGTATTGAACCGTGGCTCGTGCATGATGAAACGCTAGCACGCCGCTTGCATGGTCGAATCTTGCAAGCGTTGTGAACGTTTTTAGACGGGGGTGCAATAGCATACGGACGAAGGCGAAAACGGACACCGACGCGCATCGTTCATGTCCGCGTCCTACGGGCATTGCAGACGGCGATACACTGTGGTGGAATTGCCGACGACGTCAAAGCTGCCGCGCGTTTGCTCGCACGACTATCGGGCGGTGTTGCGAAAGGGAGACACTGGGCTTGTTGGTGTGTTCAGTCAAGCAGCCGAGCAGCCAAGCCAATCAGTAGTAAGGGGCGGGGCCACTGATGTGGGGGCGTGGCTTAGGGTGTGCCGTGATCTCCCACCTCAATTACATCTAACGGCATAAATATTGAACATTCGTTTTTTTATTTCGTGGAAAAATTACAAAAAACAACCTTTCCCATTTATGCCCTTAAGAAAACTTTTGTTCCTTTAAGAGTGCAATGACTCCAAGCGACCTCCGTTACAAATAAGAACCATAAGAGGGAGCCTGAGAAACATCTCTTCAACAATAATCAAGATGAATGCTGCATTTTATCGCTATTTCAACATTCCTTCGCCATGAATCTTGTTTTAACATTGTGCTATTATTCTTGTGTAAACATAGAAAGCAGTGAGGTGATTGGATTCTGTCAGGATTTAATTAGCCCGTATGTGTCACGGAATCTGTCTTTAAAGGATTTGCCTTCAAACCAGACGAAAGTTAAAAAGCTCAAGACTTAAAGAGCTTCAGTCTCCTTGATGTTTTTTTTCTTTTCGGTTCGTAAACTTCAAGAAGCAAAGATTCAACAATAAAAAGTAAAGAGAAATTACATGTAAGTACAATATGTGCGAAAATATGACAGCTATATTGGATATCCAGTGATATCCAATATCCCCCACCACCACCGACTCGTTTGAGTTTCGCAACAGTAATATTCTTAGTCTTCGAGTGGAGGCTCGTCTTCTACGAATGTATTTAGATTTTCTCCTCCAATGACAGGAGTTTAGAAATTGTCAGTTCTCACATTGTTAACATAGTCGAGTAACTCGCCCTTAAAACGGTAACATATATTTTTGAAGAAAACTCAGAAAATCACGGAACCACATAACAGGTTAATTGAATGTGTGAAAAAAAAAAGAAACAAATGTTTACTGAGTATTTACTCACATGCAATTTTCAGGTTTGGCTAGGTAGATATTTAGAAAGGCGTACCTTCAGTGAGTCCGATGTAGGATAAGATGAGTGTTGCCCCAGCAAACACGAATCCGAACATTGCAATCAGGTTTTCAACGCTGGTGTCGAGATGGACGCAGACATGGTCTCCCGGCTTGATGCCCTGAGCTTGCAAACCTGCCGCGCAGCGCTTTATTCTCGCAAAGAACTGAGATCGCGTTAACTGCACCTCGTCATCAATCTAGCAAGAAAGAGAGAAATGCGTCAAAAGTTTGAAAACGACGACCCTAGTGACGGTAGGGTGCAGAAAGCTTCATAACTATTACAAACACAGAGTTCACCGAAGAAAGAGTTCACCTCTACTACGCAAAACGAAGTGTTATAGTTGGGTTAACTTCATACCAGTAAGATAGAGAAGTTGTCAGCTCGTCACATCATTAAAGGTAAAGTCTAAAACAAAAACAAAACAAAAAAAGTACTCACAATGGCAATTTTATCCGGCGAAGCTTGAATGCATCTCTGAATGGCGGTGTATATAGAAGAGCAGGGAATAGAGCACTCCGGGTAAGGTGAATAAATGACGCCGTCTTTAATCGGGGCTCTCATCGGCTTCATTGTTCCTTCGACTGCTAGAAAGTAAGAATTTGTGAACTAAGGGACATGTTTATCTCTAACGCGATGCTATGGTTGAGCCTGGCGACAGTGGCTGGTGGTATCAGCGTTGTTCTGCACAATTTTATGGGAACAGCGAGATAGTGGTCGCCGTAAAAACTGATAAAAACGACCACGCCCTCGCCATCGACCATTTTTGCCAACCTGATGTGTATATGTTTTGACAGTCAACCAAGACTGGCGAAGACAGTCGTACGTACAGAATATTGACGCTCCTAGATTCTCCCCCATTTTATGTGGGTGCGATAACCCTATTCAAAGTGCAGAAAATTTGCACGGAAAACTTACAACAGGCATTCGCGCGTCACTTTTGGGCGCCTAACTAATCCGCCTTAGTTTACTGCGATAGCTACTATAGCTACTTCTCCCTCACCCGAAATGACGTTGATGATGCAGTTGTAGTCCTAGTGCGTTCGTCGTCGATACCTCCAAATGCAATAAAAAAAGGAAAAGCTGGGGTATTTTTATGCTGCCATTCCTGGTCCAAATGTGTGTTCTGTGTGTGTTTATACAGCCTGAAGTTAGTCTGCCTCGACGGGTGACTTGTCTCTCACCTGTAGATGAAACATTTAGCCAATGCAGTACAACCGCTAGCTTGGTGTCTTTGAAGGCTCGTTCACACACTTGCATATCCGAGTCTTATCTTACGACCGGATGCGCTACCGCAGAGCCAGTACTAAGCCGTCACAAAAGGCTTAACAACCGGTCTTCGTTCAGTCAGTTGCAGTCAAACGCAACTGTATTAACGGGCCTTAACGTGCACCACGCAGTAGTGATACAGTAAAGCACGCCGGTATGATACTCGTCGAGACCGACACGGGCAGGAGTGGGGGTTGAGCTCAGCATCACTGTGTTCTGGAGCGCGAACTTTCTCTCCACGAGCCCCGCGCCGGTGGGCGCTAGCCCACTCGGCTAACGATCCCCTGAACTTCTTGGTCCAGTCCTTGTGAAGCCATCGCGCTACCACAGAGCCACCCGAGCTGCTTCGACACGCACCGAATAAAGCGCATCTGTTGAGGACAGATGCGCATGAGTATCGCGCAGAGCCTATCATGATGGGCGCAGTGTAACGTTGCATCACGACACGCGAGTCTCATGCCGCGTCAATCGGAGGGCTTCTGCGTATAAATTAAACGATTGTCCCTCTCCGATTAGACATTGCAATGGTTTCTCCACGTGACGTGCAAGAAACATAAGTGCAATATACATAAGGATACATTAAGCTCCGATAGGGTGTCGCAGCTATCGCTTTGTCTGTACTGTGATTTCACATGGGACAGCAGAACTTTAATTTAAAATACCATTAAGGCCAAATCTTGTATTAAAATAGAGAACGAAAGAACAAGGGTTAGTATTTATTAGTAAATCGTCAATAACGTAGAAAAGTGTCCATTCACTCCACACTGTAACTATCACCTAAACTTGCGACGGGGCACATTAGACAAAGGAGTAAATCAGCCAGTCAATGGTTTGTCCACCACCCACGTCGGCGGATTAAACTATTCCAGATAAACGAGATAGACGCCAATAAACCCGGGACGCGTTGGCGCGGTCTTTTGAAAAGGGTCTATTAAACTCTTTTCAAAAGTCCGCGCCAACGCCTGTCCGCCATTGCTTCCTCGCATACTCTGAGCATGGATTCGACACGAGTGCTGACGTCAGCGTTCAGCGAGGACTTGGGTCTAATCACGAGCTTCGTAAGCAACAATGGTGGCAGCCAATGTTGCTTCGCGAACTTTTGCAAAGTGTCCATTCGGGTTTTGGCTTAAGCGCCCTTCGCACTCTTGCGACCGAGTAAGACGGAAAGAGACCAGACCGGTTTTTAAGCCTTTTGGGACTTCTTAGGACCGGATGCGATGCAGCGGAGCTGGTCCTAAGAAGTCGCAAGAGGCTTAAAAACCGGTCTGGTCTCTCTCGGTCGTACTCGGTGCAAGTGTGTGAACGGGCCTTTATGGATATTCTGTTAAACCTCCTACGTGTGGCATTCCCTGGTAAGCTAGCTATGTTCCGTGTTGGTGCATGGAACGTGGTTGCGTTCTATGTTGGCGCATCTCCCCAATATATTGGCAGAAATCTAAGTCGGAGCTTGTTCTGATCATGCGCTGAGCGGCGGACTGAACGATGAGGGTCTATAAATTCCACTCAAAAGTTCATGCGCGCATTCGCACCTAACCCCTCATATTCCTGCCAAACCGTCACTAACAAGCTTAACCGCGTAGCTTCCGATCGTATCTCAGCTTCGAACAATAAACCGAACTTTCAAAATGTCAGATAGCCTTTTTTTTTTATAACATAGAAGTTGTTTTTTTAAATATGACAAATGTCGGAATTACTCGTAGCAAGAAAGAATTATACAGAGTTACCTACGGCACTGACCTGCAACAGATGTCTTCGCAACGATGCGTGTGAAAGTGCTTTAACAAACGTGTGCACGCAAGTTCCACAAGCGCTTCCCAAAACGCAAGGCTCCGGAGCGATACTTGGTTTCAGCATAAGGTCCCTGCCTGACGGCAACCACGTTATCCCGGTCAAAATGAAAGCCGCGTATCACTTGACAACCGCGTGATTGTCGTCGATGCCAGAGTCGCGTATCACCAAAGAATGCCCTTCATCTGCTCGATTAGCGTTTGCACAACACTCGGAGGCCTCGCCGCAACAGATAGAACAGTAGAAAAGATAGTGAAAACAGAGCTGAACACGTGATTCTCTAGTGGCGGTTTCTACACAGATAAAGCTACTGTAATATGCCGAGCAAGCGCCCCCAAGATGTCTAAGTAACCTTGGAAAATGGGGCATTGGTGCTTGCTAGTTTCGAGAACAAAAATGAAGAAGGGGCACATCATTTCCACTCAGCACTCTCGTGCACGGAGTAGCTTCTGACCCGGAAAAACATCCCAGTCAGCTATACTCGGCGTCAACTATTGTGTGCTGCATTGCCAAGGCTAGCGTAGTTTTCACAGTGCAGCAGCCACGCACAGCTTCGAGAGCACATGGCTTCGTCTTGCCTCTCGCGCATCTAGCCTTGACAAGGTTGGAGCACTACAGAAAGCTACGTACGCTAGCCTTGACAACGTAACATAGAATAGCTGACGCCGAGCATAGACAATACACCTATTGCTAAATTAGCCAAGCATCAAGAACAATTCAGGGAATGGTCTTCCACGCGCCGCACGCGCACGTCTTCCCCGTATAAAATATTCGAAGTAAATAAAAAAGTAAAGCGTGGACGAACGCTCGTGCAAGATGCCATTTGTTTTAGGCTTTTGCTTTAGAACAGTTACTGCTCCATACGCCAGCACGTGCAGCGCGTGGAACACCATTCCCTGCATTCTCCTTGATGCTTGGCTAATTTAACAATAGGTCTATTGCAAGCATGGAGCCCCGTCTAGTGCCCGATGCATGAAAGCGTGCAGCGTGCGGGTGAAGATAGCTTTGGCAAGCTTGAAATTGCACGGGCGTGCCGGCACGAGCAGAAGCATGGCGGCGGCCAGCCGCCCTGCTTGCAGTTGTCTATAAGCGGGCTCGAAAGTAGAGGTCGAACCGGAACCGAACTGCAGCGAAAACCGTAACCGAACCGTTAAATTTAGTCGAACCGGAACCGAACCGAAATGTCGCCTACATGTTGGTAAAGTTACGGTAACTTAAACTGCGATACCAGTAACGTCGTATACCTATTGAAATGTGGCGCATGCGATAAGCAGTATGTGGGCCAGACGATGACACCTTTCCGGAAAAGATTCAGTATTCATAGAGCCCATGAAAAATCCCTCTCCAATCTCCCCCTCTCAAAAGATATAAGCATTTCCGGACATTCGTTCGATAAGCTCGAGGTGACATTTCTACAATCTGGTTTTGAAACTAACCTGGATCGCGAACACAGGGAGTCATATTTAATCTGCTAGTTCAACACTATTGAAGCTAGAATCAATGAACACCCTGGGACAATGGCATCCATGCACACAGTGAACACATCTTAAGCAGTCATGTCGGTCTAAAGGACCACATTCATTTATCGTTTTCTCTGTCTTGAAGATTATTACGTGCAAAAATGTTTTCAAGCGCAATCGTCGTGTTGTGCTCGCTTAGTCGGGCAGACCTTTAAATTAATTACGAAACTTTGGCAGCTGTGACGGTTTAAGCTTTATTTTTACCGTGGTTTACACTCGATTATATTATTTTAATAATTCAAAACCTGGTGGCCCTAAGAGTATTTTGTACCGCGGACAACGTGCTCTATTCGTCAATGACGCAATGGCCGACTGGATGCTCTGATCCGTACGTGGTGCAACTCATTGTCTGTTTAACGTGCGGTTTTGGTTTATTTTTGCCGTTCATTGAATGTCAGTGGTGATAAATCGCATCACCTTTTTCAAAAAAACGTTTTTCTGCTGTTTACATACATACATACATACATATATATATATTATTTCATACGCTTTTTTAGACAAAATGTTTGTTTCATACATATCCCAGACATTAAAAATTGCAGTGATTATTGAATATATATATATATATATATATATATATATATATATATATATATATATATATATATATATATATATATATATATATATATATGTATATACATATATATATATATTGCGCGCAATATTTACATCGGGAGGAGAAACACGAAAACCGAACGATTCATATCTAAAATACTATTATCCTTTCGCAAATATTGTGATTTGATCAAGCTTATGATAGTAGTTCGCGTTAATACTACGTTTTCAACATGAGCCATGAAACTAATAATTAAACAGTTAATCACCAACCTTGTTAATAAACAGACTTTCCATGGCGATTATTACCTCATCTAATGTCCACAGAGCCTGGCACTCAGATTGCGAAGACGGCACCCGTGTAACTCGCCCCTCTTATCAAACCCACTTCCTCTAAAAATACCAGTGAGTTCAAAATCCGAGACATGTTCTGCTGGCCTCCAGTGTATTCCGGAGTCTAAAATGCTGCACGCGTACAGCACGCCAAGGGTGTTAAACGTCCGCCTCAAAGAGTGGAACGCTTTTTTCAGCATTACGCTGCTTTTGCTTGCACTACATATTCTATCAAAATACATTTAAGTTAAATGGAGAAGCGACATCACCGTTATCTTTACGCGTCGGTCAACAGATATCCGTCTGAATTGTTTTCTTTTTTCCTCTCTGGACGGTCACACGAAACCGACCATTCCCAAACTCGGGAAGCAGACGGTGCAGGCCTGAGCTTGTCGGCAGTTACCTGGGTAGATGTAGAGTAAAAGTTAGACTGCAGCATCATTAGGTCATGGAGAGCGGATACGGATGAATGTAGGTCGTGATAACGTCCACATCAACTGAATAAAGCGTGTTTTTAAGGGACCGTTGAAAACCTTGCGGCGGCGTCTGACATCGTTGATGCCCATTTGGGCGAACGCCGGCGTGCGTCGCACACGAGGCGGGCGCCTGGAGACATGGTCGGAGTGGCTTTTCTTTAAACAATAATTTCTCAGCAAGAACAAAATTAATTTTATAATTTATTTATAAGTTGAACAGATCAGGTGGATTGAACTTCTGGTTATTTTGAAAGTTGAGGGTAGCGTTGCCCACATTGGTTTTTTCTGGCTCTCAATAAGGCCGTTTTTGCATAAGCTGGAAATTTTGTCATTCGATTAAAACGCAACAAAACGAGGTTTTGGAAGTTTACACATGCAGTTCAATTATTAGTTCTATAAGAACAAAAGAGGTATTGTAAACAATACCCAAATCCAAGTCGTCTAAAAAAAATTATCCTAAGATCTCTTTCTTTTTATTTGGGTTCAAAATGGCATCCTTCAGTGTTTGCATATTTTTATATTATAGGGCATATATTTAAGTTCTTAGTGTTTATCTTAATTTGGGTGGTAAGCAAACGCTTTTTTTTACAATGTTTTTTTCTTAACTACAAGAGTTTTACGCGAATTCTAGAAGTTTAGGGCATAGTATAAGCAAAAACACATGTTTTCATTGACACCCAAAAAAGCTTTTATTTTAGTTCAGAGGCTTCTACATCCGAATTATTTTCTTCGCACATATCCCAGACATAGAAAATTGCCGCGTCTCCTTCGGCAGGGAATGACACCATAACATATATCTAACTTACCTGATGTGTTTATCCAGCTCTTTCGCCAATTCCGGTCTTATTGAAAATGAAAGAATGTGCAAGATTTTTTCCCAGTCTGATGATCACAAGCAGTAACGAAATACTCACAATATTGCTAGCCTGAAAAACGAAGGTTGGAGTCGCCAACCGATCATGTTAAAGTCATATTAATTACTCCTTCATTACAATTCATGTCAACTGCAAAATCAAAAAGAGGTCCTGACTTGCTTTGATATCATGCTCGAAGCAGATGCTTCTCTGGCTGTATTTTTAGCAGATCTTCATACGTCTGATGATTTTCTTGAGACAGTATCCCGTATCGTACAGAAGTGCAATTCGCATTTAAAAACCTGATGAGTTCTTTTAGACCTCTCATGTTTCCAATAAATGCAAGATCAAAGTCATATTATTATGCAAACGATTAAACTGTTGCAAATGCCACACTTTCGTCATTCCGTACACGTTCGACATCTGCCGCAGGATTCTCGAGACGTCTCGAGGACCGGAAGTTGCCGCCGCAAATATTTCAGGAACTCTCGATTCTCGGTCAACTTCTGTCGTGGTAAGTTTAAAATAAAGGCGCTTGTATATCCTTTTTATGCGTTTAAATTCCACGCCCGATTTTTGAACGATGCTTCTGTCGGAGCGAAATCCAGTCCCATGTATTCGTTCATAGCAACGCTCCTAGCAACGATTTGTTTGGAGCAATGGCGTCACACTTTCGGGGTAACTTTTGCGAAATGAGCAAACAAAGCCGTTAGGAACAGCGAAGTTTCGAAGCAATGCCAGCAGTGCTAGGCACACTGGGCTAAGATGGCCGTCTCCGGAACACTGCAACTCGAGTCCCAGAGTGCAAACGACGATCGCCGTGGTCTTGTATTTCCGCGAGTCACCAACATCGCCATGGAAATGTTATGCGTTATGAACGAAGAATAGAACGTCGACTCGCCGATGTCACCATGTGTTTCGCGTATCGGTGCGTGTAAACACATGATGATATGACGTATACTCTACAGTCGCATGTTGACATTCTGCTGTACATTAAAGAGTTTAAGAACACCGTTTGAGCGACTACGTACAACCGTTCGACCTGAGCGTCATGTTGTAACTCTTGTCTCAACCGTAGCTCCTATGGTACGGGCCAATGTAACTGTCGTCTGGAATGTCATGCTGTTTCCTCCGCGAGAGCGACTGCACTCTCGGGAAGAGCTGAACAGGCTTAAAAAAATGAAAGACGTTTACAATTTTTTGTAATGCAAAATTAGAACGCAGCTCTTGAGGAGGAGGAGGGGTCGGTATGGAGGGGAGTCTGTCTATGCCCCTCCCCTTCCCCTCCTCCACTTCCCCTCCGCTCCCATTTAACGGGAAATTTCCGCTAAATTTCCCGCTAAGG